GCATGTTATGTATATGCTTAAGGAGCAACCAAAAAGCGCCAGGGTCTAACTGGAATGTGTAATAAATCACCCAGCGGTGGCTGTGCTTTGAGCATATCTCTTTCTCTCCCTCACTCCCTCTTATTTAAGAAATCTGAATGTGGCTATATTGTTCTTTGGGAGGAGAGGGGCAGTGAGGCAGCCATGAGGCAAGTGGAATTCGCATTCCCAGTTGGCTGGAAGTGACCTCATCTGCTTTGAAACAGGGCAGAAGTCTGGTTTCCGGGAAGGAGCACCTAAGCAAATGGCAGACACGAGTGCGTAACCTAGCGATTAGTGGCTAATCCTGCAAAGGAAGAGTCTTGTTACACCAAGATGAAGAAGGAAGGAGCAGAACGCTTATGGCGCAGCTTGCAATTCATTCATTCATTTATTTAAAATAGTTTTCATCCCTCCTTTCTCCTTAAAAAAAGAACCCAAGGCAGCTTACCTCATTAAAAAGACAATTATGTAGAAGCTAAAAACAGTAGGTCTACAAATATAAAAAGAGAATTAAACAAGTATACATTAAAAAAAGTAATAACATCAATACTGAAACACATTGAAAACAACAGAGCACAATAATTCATGTAAAAACCCCTCTCAGACCACTTGTTACAATTAAGGGACAGCCTGCCTGAACAGAAAGGTCTTTGCCTGCCTGCGGAAGGGCAGCAATGATGGGGCCAGCCTGGCTTCCCGTGGGAGGGAGTTCCAGAGTCTGGGAGCAGCAGCAGAGAAGGCCTTTTCCCTTGTCCCCACCAAACGCATCTGCAAAGGTGGAGGGACGGAGAGAACAGCCTCCCCTGGAGGTGATCTTAAAGCCCAGGCAGGCTCATAGAGGGAGATGCGATCTTTTAGACAGCTTGGAACCAAGCCTTTAGGGCCTTATAGGTTAAAACCAGCACTTCAAATAGTACTGGTTTTAACCTATAAACTGATCGGCAGCCAGTGGAGCTGCTGTAAAAGGGGGGATTTGTGTGATCCCTGTGACTAGCCCCAGTAAGCAATCTAGTGGCAGCAATTTGGATCCTCGGAAGTTTCCAAACAATTTCCAGAGGCAACCCCACATTGAGTGTGTAATAGCAATTCAGATGTAACTATGACATGTGTCACTGTGGCCGAATCAGACCTCTCAAGAAACAGGCACAGCGGTCGCACAAGTGTTGATTGTGCAAAGGCACGCGTGGTCACCAGTAAAAACTGGGCACCTGGGCTCAGAGACAAATCCAGGAGCGCCCCCAAGCTGCACACCAGTGTTCTCAGAGAGGGTAGCATCTCCATCCAGCACAGCCGGCGTGCTCTATTCCTTGATCTGCCTTTCGACTGACCCAGGAGCACCTCCGTCTTGTCCGGATTACGTATCAGCTTATTTGTCCTCATCCTGTCCATGACTGACACTAGACACTGGAGCAGAGCATCCTCTGATTTAGATGGCAAGGAAAAAGAGAGAGAGAGAGTTGGGTGTCATCCACGTCCTGGTGAAACCGAACCCCAAAACTCCAGACAATCTCTCCCAGCAGTTTCATGCAGATGTTAAATAGCACAGGAGACAAAACCGAACCATTGGGGGACATCCCCAAGAGCCAGGGTGTCAAGCATGGGTCCCCCAGCACCACTACCCAACACCATCCACTGGGTTCCCTCCTCCAGGAAGAACCAGAGGATCACTTTTAAAGTGCCTCCCAGACCCGTCCCGAATGAGAAATGGTCCCGAATGATACGATGGTAGCTGGTATTGAACGTCGCTGAGAGGTCCACCAGAACCAACAGGGACACACTCCCCCTGTCCTTAGCGTAAGTCATCTACCATGGCGACCCAAGCCAACTCATAACCAGGTCTGAAGCCAGACTGAAGTGGATCTAGATAATCCGTCTCCTCCAGGAATCCCTGGACCTGAGAAGCCACAACCTGCTTCAGCACGTTGCCCAAAAATGGGACATTAGAAACTAGTCGGCAGTTAATACTGTGGGGTCCAAGGAGGTTTTTTTCCCCAATATTCATCTTACTGCTGCCTCCTTCAAGCAAGCTGGGATCCTACCCTGCTGCAAGGAGGCATTTCCTCTCCCTTGGACCCCTCGGCCAGTCTCTCTCTGGCATCTTTTATGACCCAGGATGGGCAAGGGTCTAGGAGACAAGGGGTCGCCTTCACCGGTCCAAGGACCCTGTTCCAACTCATCAGGCTACAAAAACTGGAACTTATTCATCAACACAGGACAAGCAGGAGCTATAGTTACCTCTGCAGGACCTCTACAGCATCCAAGTCAGAGCGGATCTGAGCAATTTTGCCTGCAACGTATTGGGCAAATATTTCACAGCGAGCTACCAAGTGGTCAGCGTTACCGTCCTGTGGGCCGTGATGTAACAGGCCACTGACCACTCGGAAGAATTCTGCTGAGTGACTCGGTGCAGATGCAACAGTGGCAGAAAAGGGACTTATTCATTTCCACCACTGCCATGGAACAGGCCTCCCAAAGGGGTCTAGCCTGTGTTTGGTCGGATTCACTCTCAAGTTTTCCACCATTGTTGCTCTAGTCTGCGTCCCACTCGTTTCATCACCACCAGCTCCCCAATCAACCAGGGGGCCAGTTCGACTCACTTCGGAGCGATGGTGTCCACAGCCCTGACTGTTTCCCCATTCCAGAGATCAACCAGAGCTTCAACTGAATTCCGTGCCAAGGTGACAGGAAACTCCGCAAGAGTAGTGTGGCTGAGAAGGCCAACTCGAGAGTAACACAATCCCTTCCACACTAAAGACAAATACAGTCTGTCCCCTGTCCAGCTCCCTGATTTTGCTGCTTTCGGGACTGCCTCTTTGCCTCAGCCTGCTGGACAAGGGTCTCTTCAAATTGGGAGAGGCCGTGATGCACCGCCTGCCTCCAGGCTGAACGCTCAGAGGTCAAGGTTTCCCATCTGTTGACATCCGTCCTTAAGGCCTTCAGATCCCGCTTCCAGATCTCCTTGTATCGCAGCTGGGGTCTCCCTCTGGGGCGATTTCCCTGCACTCATTCTCCATACAGGAGATCTTTTGGAATCCGACCATCAGCCATTCTCATGACATGCCCAAGAGTAACCAAGGGAGTATTACCAAAGGAGTATTAACAGTAGCATCCACATGGTTTCAGTGGCAAGATTTCAGTCTAGGAGGAATGTGTGTATTTCATGATCACATTTCATAAGTGTGCAGTTTTGTATTGGGTAAACTGGCTTTTTAAAGTTTCTTACTTTAAAAAAACTGCAAGTTTCTGGTGGTCAAAACTCCAGCTGTAGATGTGAACATCAGGAACCAGAGTGAGGCCAAGCAGGATGGAGGACAAGCTGCGAAGCTGCAGATTTTGAAAAAAAAATGCAAAGTGTAGGATACCATGGATAGCTGAACCTACCCTGTCCTGGAAGAACCCAAACAGGGGGCACCTCTTTGGAGTTTCTATGCATTTATTTTGAACTCTTTCCCCTTAGCTAGGGTACCACTTAATCTCTTCTATTGTTGTTACCTCCCGTCAAGTCTCTTCCAACGTATGGCAATCTTCACCAGCCCTGCTTGGCTCTTCTTCTGCTAGCGTGATGATGGCTCTGTCGCCACATGCTTCTGTGGAAGGAGTTCATGGTGTAACTGCTGGGTTCTTTGTTTAGAGAGCTGAAGTCAAGACCCTCGATTCTGTATCGGCCC